TGTATGCGGGTGTATGTGGGCATATCTGTGTGTTTGCGGGTGTATGTGGACATATCTGTGTGTCTGTGGGTGTATGTGGGCATATCTGTGTGTTTGCGGGTGTATGTGGACATATCTGTGTGTCTGTGGGTGTATGTGGGCATATCTGTGTGTCTGTGGGTGTATGCATGTGTTTGTGGGCATATCTACCCGTGAATGGCACAGGAAGCCGGCGTACAGCAGCAGGGCGGCAGGCAGCAGAATGAGACTGAAGATCAGGACCATCAGCCCCACACACCCCAGCAGCAGCAGGACATTCCACAGCAGCAGCAGCAGCGTCCACAGCACACACCCGCAGTGGCCCCGCCGGGCCCCCCAGACCCCGCCGTCACACTGAGCCGGAGGAGGCGGCAGCATCCGGATCCCGTCACCCACGTCAAAGTCTTCATCACCTCCACCATCATCTAAAAGCACCGTCATTCCACACATCCTAAATAAACACATTATAAATTGAATATAACATATACATATAATATGATATATCAAATATATACTTATATAACTTAATAAAAGTCTATTTGAATTGACTTGATTCACACTTCACATCAGGCCCGGATTGGCTAATTGGGAGCACCGGGAGGATTATGGGGTAGGTTTAGGGGTTAGCATTTTTTGTAGCACAGTGTAGTAAATCAACACTTTAATTGACACAACCAATAAAATCTTTAGAATCAGCTGTGGGGCGGAGTTTGCACTGAAGTGGATTGTGGGGAAAAGTGTGCATGCGTGTCATGTGCCTGTCTGTCAATGGGAGGAAGCCACGCCCTATTTTGGAGTTCCCGCCCCCATTTGGAGATCTCCAGGCTGCAGTTATACCGTTCTCGCTTCACAGTGAGCGGGACTCGCGTTAACTCCACCCTTCACCACCCGCTTTTTTATTTTACAAAACCAGTTTGGGCGAATAGCCAAAGATCATTGATCATGAGCCCAACATCCAGCACGGCAGGAAAACACTGAATCTACCTGAGGGAAGACGTCTTTCATTGGAAGTTAATGCTGTTAAATAGAGAGGGAAAAAACGCATTACAAAAAAATAAATAAATACTTCTTGCGTAGGCTATTCTTAAACTTGGGCCTCATTATTGAAGTAAAATCCAAGCACCAGAAGCGGCCCACACTCTCTTAAGTTTTCTTAAATTGAAAAATATGCATTTTCATTCATTCAAAGGCTATAGTTGCAATAATATTTTAGATCAAAACTTTAAGTGCTATTGTTTAAAAAACAAAGCTTGTTGCTATTGACTGTTCAAATGCGTTGAGTGTTTTGCGCATCGTGTGTGTGTGTGTGTGTGAGAGAGAGAGAGGGTCTTAACCGTGGCTTGTGTACTGCATCATTACTGTGTCTGTTCCCCTTTCGGGCTCTGTCTTTACATTTATTTTGAAAGATGAAGCTGGAGATTATGGTAAGGGGCGTTACATTTCCGACGAGTGCTTGCGGTGTTCGGCCAATCACAATGCACTGGGTCAGCTGGCCAATCAGAGCAGCCTGCGCTTGTCGGAAGGCGGGGCTTTGTAGAAAACGAAGCGTTTGAGAGAGGCGGGGCATAGAGGACCTACAATAATGTACAGTATTTGACAAATAATGTGTTTTTCGAACATTAAAGCATGTCAACATATTCTGTTACACCAAATACACAAAATAATGATCTTTAAAAAAGCATCATATGACCCCTTTAAAGAATAAACACTTATTTTCTTAAAGAATAAGATAAAGAATCACAATTGTCCCTTATTTTCCATTTCTTATGTTTACTGGCAATAATAACGTAATTATCTTTTGACTCCCCTGACAGCGGAGCTTGCTAAAAAAAAAAAACATTTTAATCACATTTTAATGTGGTTTGGATTGGAGCAAAATTTGATGCAGACGGCAAACAACTAAACAGATGAGTCAGATACATCAATAAATATGACAATAAAGTTGTTAAATGCCTGCAGAGGAGAGATGAATATCAGATATAAAATAAAAACCCTTTCATTAAACACAGTCAATCAAAAGAGGCAGATAGAGAGGGAATAGCCTTAGGTGCTTTTAGGTTTATGGAAATGAAGATGATTATAGTGAACTGAATGTTCTGTTTCATCTTCGTGACACACACACGCACACAATACAACATAACATAACACAAATACATAATTCATGTATCTTGTCCAAGCCTTGACTTCAGGGCGTTACCTCACTAAACAACATAAAAGTCAATATGAGATCAGAACTAAATCTGTCTTTACTACAAGAAGCACAGTTCTCTGATTTCACTACTGTAAACAGCTTTCCGATGATATTATAACCCGTCGCTGTCGTCTATACTCGTGAAACTGTTGTGTGGAGAGTCATCGATTGACGGATCGACTATCTTCAGCTCCATCAGTCTTTCTCCAGTCAGTCTGGACGCTTGGGAAGCAGAGCACAACTGAATAAACGGTTTTCAACCGTTAGTCTGCATTTTTCGCGCGCTTCACTTAAACGGCTTTTTGGCGCGGAGTCAACGGCATTTCTGGGATTCGCGCGCGAGACGCCTCAGCATCCGCATGAAAGAGGAATCCGTGTTAATAATGAGAGTTTGAGTCGACAAAAACACACACTTTTCAGGATTACAGGAAGAAGTTTTCAGTGTCTTACCTGCTGCAGCTGCGATGAGTTTATTCCTTTATCCAGAGGATACAAACATCCCACTGAGAGAGAGAGAGAGAGAGAGAGAGAGAGGTCTATCTGAGGACATGGATCGAACTAGAAGCACCGGAAAGGTTCACATTTTCTATCTTTTAACTAGTTTAATGCAAAACCCCATATAGTTACTATGGATACCACAGTAAAATCATAATAAATTAATGTTATTTCATTAAACGCTGTGAAAAATATCAATTTAATATTAAGTTCTACCGTAGAAACAGTACTGTTCGGTAAACTGTGGTAAATATTCGCACGTTTACACGTCTGTTCATCATTCTAATCATTAAATGATTCATTTAGGGCTTTAGCTTAACTCAAAGGAAACTAAATAAACAAAACGAGACAAGTAATTATCCGTAGAGAAACTCGCGATTTTCTGAGTCGTGACTTTCTGAGTCGGCTGTGTGGCAGCTAATTGCTAACGGTGGAAGCTAATTAGTGCTGATCGCAAGTCACCAAGTGCAGTTTAGTTTGTTAGCATGTTGTGTACGGTTGAACTCATTAGATGGTTTTTCTAAGCTAGCCTAGCTAGCAATCTATAGGCTAATAAGCAAAAAGTGAAACATTTTTCATACATCAAGAATTCTTGTCTTAACGAAATATATTGCCGTAAACAGAAAACCGAAGCATAATTTTGGCTTTCGGCAGCATCTCTTTCACTGACTTGATTAATCACAGATGAGTTGATAATGAAATTGATGAGCTCCATCCCTTCCCAGAGTCCTGTGCTGCAGAGATAAGAGACACATCCGCTCCATGGACAGATAAAGCAATGGAAGAAAGCATGATGGCTGATTAAATCATTATTCATGGGCCATTTTTGGGTAATTGAATAATTCTATTTTTTTTTGTAATGCAGTATATGCAATACAGAAAAAGACAAAACTAGGTGAGTAGTAACATTCAAAAAACATTCAGAAACTCAGTGGAAACACACACGTGCTCACAGCGCCACCTGCTGGTCAACCTCAGTCACGACACCATTCAGCAGTCTGACTTGTGTTTTAAATAATATAATATAATGTATCAAAATTCACAATTGCTTGTGTGAAGACATACAAATAAACACAATAGAAGTCAAAGGAATCACACGTGTGTTTTTCCTGTAGCTTTCTTCTGAATGTGGGTCTGAAAGCGTCCCATTTCTCTTCTGGACCCAATCAGACTGAACGGGTGTCACGTGACCGTTTCAGGACACACACACACACTCA